TATAGTTAGGTGCCAAGGATTGACTTTGTAATGATAATGGTGGCGAGGCGACAGCCCATGGAGGCTGTCAGACCTCGACTGCTGAGGATCTCTAAGAGCAGACTGCATCTCTCTTCGGCAGGAGTGATATACTGTGACTAATGCGACCTTAAATCAAGGAAACGGGCCAGCTGACCTCTCCAAGTGCTTCACAGTCCATAACTTTATTTATGCCGTTAATATTTGGAGGCAGAGCCTGATTAAACCATGGAAGCTGGCAGAGCTGTGCAGTGAGCGGCTTGCTGTGCAGGAGCATGGGGCTGCAGAGCCCAGGGGGTGGGATGCCAGCCTCCCAAAACTGTACCACTGGGCATCCTCTGGCCCGTGCCCCTTTGGCTGAGTCATGGCAGGGAGGTTCTGGCACCAAGCACATCCCCTATTTCTCTCCAATGCTCCAGCCCAAGGACTTATCTTAAATTACAGCAGTAGAAAATTAAGAATATGTGTTTGTGGTTTGTTTTTTTTCCCCCTTCCATTCCAAACAGCTCATGCTCACATTTCCTGGAGCGCTGTGTTTGGTTCTGCAGATGTAAAAGGGGGCCCATGGGGTCAGGCAGTGCAGGTTTTCCATTTTTCACATCGCTGCACCCACAGACAGACAGAATTCAGTATCATTCACAGGGTACAAGGGAAAAACCTTCCCAGTCATTTTGCTTTTAACACTACGTATTTTTCTTGCAGTAATGCTGAGGAAAAGAAAAGCTCTTTTCCTGCAGCAAAAGGCTGCTCTAGGCCCAGGTTCTGCTGCAGGTTGGGAACAAACATGCTTCCCAGCAATGTGGTTTTCTTTAAAATGGGAAATGTGAGAGGTGAAAGCAAGCTGTAATGGTAGCAGGCTGCAAGATGGATTAGCAGATACAGAGCTGCTGGAAATGGAAAGGGCTTGCCTCTCGCAGGGGTCTGGGCATGCTCATCTGCCACATGAGGGCTTGCAGAATAACAGCTATGAGGTGTATGGTAAAATAAAAACATAGATTTAAGTGCTGAAGGAGGAAAAAAAAATAATTGAGATATTTAGGTCACCTTTATCTACCAAAGTTGAAAAAATTGATGGGAGATCTGTGAGGAAATTAGCAAAATAGAGAGGAAGACGTCAATACATGTAATGGCTTCCCAAATTCTCTCTGCAGTCACTGCAATTTAACCATGGCTTCCCTTAAGGAACCTGCCCTGCTTGCAGAGCTTCACCAGAATGGCTTCACCTGCAGCATCCAACCCCTGCAGCCTCCAACCCCTTGCAAACAGTCACCCGCAGCAAATGCTTAGCAAAGTGGTGTGAGAGGATCTGGGCAGAGTTGGGCAACCTTGGAGGGTTGGAGAAAGCAGGGTAGCCCACACCTTGCTTTTCCTCCCTTCCCATATAGCAAGAGAGTCAGCGTGGCATTAATTACGCAGACTTCACATCAGCTTTGTGTGGTGTTGTCTTCATAGCAAAACAAAAACACAAAGGAGCTGCTTTTTTATTATTATTAATAACTATTCCAGCATCTGGCTGGTCCAGTGGCCCTGGCCACAAATGGGTTTTGGGTGCAATTCAGCCCCTGGACATCAAGGTCTGGAAAGTCAAACTGCTGTGGACAAATGAGGGACAGACTGGACAGTGCCAGCAATCAGCTCACAGTGTGAATGCAGTGAACAAGCCCTGCTGATCCATGGGGCCAGCTGACAAACCAGCTGAGCTTCCTGCCCACAGAGCAGCAGCTCTGCTCTTAACACCAGCTATTCCAAGCAGCAATCACAGCAAGCAGCCTACCAGCAGTTCAGCCTGGAATGTGTTTGCGTTGCTCATCAGATAATTTGGAGAGCTGGACACATTCATGAGAATTGTGATCTCTTTCAGGACAATGCACACGCAGGAAAAAAGGTAAATTCAACAAATCAATTCTTAGCTGTGAATAGCTCTCCCAGAAATAGTCCCTCGCAATACGGCATTGCGCATTTCTCATTTCTAACTCAAATCAGTATGCTGCTCTGCCATTGCATTGTTTACTCCTAGCAGTTTTGACTCCCTACTCACTGAATCATGAAAGCAAGGTTACATACAACTTCTGGCATGTGGAAAAATGAGTCCTTCCCTCTTCAGCCCCCTCCCCTACAGCTCTAGCAGTGTACCACACTGCTCCTCAGTTTCCTCTGTTTGATGCTGTGTCCTTTCCCACCTAGGCTTCTCTTCAATGGGGCAAAGAATGGCTGAAACGTTATGATTCGGTGTTGGCACCTACTGGCCATAGATACCGGTTATTCACCAAGGCCTTTTCCTGGGTTCATTTTCCTGTTATATTATCTCCTAGACTCAGGAGTCAAAGGAAATTGGTGAGTCATGACTCCTGCTTTCTCACATGAATGAAACTTAAAACTCCATCAGACAATTCCAGGTTGTTGGCAACTTGGCATCTGACTGCTGTAGGATGGGATTTTACCCAACAGGTATTTTGTCCAGATGTGACATTGAAAATAGCTGTCTTAACTGGGTTAGTAATTACATGCAAATGCTTTCCCTTACATTCCTGAAAGATTTGCTTGTTTCTGTTCATACTGGTGGATGTGCTCAAGGATCCCAAACTGCTGCAATTCCTGCTGAGGGAGGGGGAAACATGCAAGCCAGCTTAGCCAGAGCTCAAGGCATTCAGAGTTGACATTGTCAAATATTTCTCCCCATTTGCTGTCCCCTTTCTGCAGTGTGTGCAAAGGAACAGGCTCCCTGGTATCCTGTGGGTATGCTCTCAGCCCAACCTTGCTTTTGGAAGCAGCTCACATACCTCCCGAATTGTTGCTGGGTGGTTTTTTTTTGGCATTTCTTTTTTTCTTCCCCTTGGCTCTCCAAATGTACTGAAGTGTCATTAAGACAAATGGCAAACATTTCTCCTTTTCTCACATCTGTCAAAACCTCAAAATCTACTTTCATGACATTTCACACAGAATTTTTTTTCTACATACCACTCAAAGGACATAGAATCCTAATGAGCCTTGCTTTCATGATTTTAATCTGTCATGTGCTGCTGCCCTCATATAATAAATTAACAAAAGGGAAGGGAGAAAAACAAGGAATATAAAGAGCTCTGGGCAGAGAAGGAGGGAAGAAAATAGATCGGTACCCACCTGGGGTTTAGAGGCATTCAGAGTGAGGCATCAGTGCTGTGTCACCAAGTAGGCACGCTACAGAGGAGCTGAGCAGGGCACTTTTCCAGCCTGCACCTTTTGGGCAAAGAAGCTAAAGATATGGCATGTTCCTTTGGTAGCTGCAGTAGGACTTGAGAGTATTTCTCTATTGCCAGTGTCAACAAAGTGCTAAGAGCTGAAAGACGACTTCACTTTTGGCCCTTAATTTTTAAAATTGTTGTTCCTGCGGTGGTAGACTTGGCCAGCAAAATGTTAACTGGTGTGCTTGCTTTTACTGTCTATAAATATAGTAGCTGCTATATAATAGTTTCTAATGGAAGAATGAGAACGCTATTTTTTCTCATCAAAAACAGAAAGAAAATGTACCAAAAATTGCTTAAGTGCATCCTTTATGGAGGAAAAAACTGGACAGCCGTTTCTCTTAATTCATGACTGGGAAGCTGGGGGTAGCTCAGGTTCTTCCTCATTAACCACAGCAAAAGAAATAGAGCCACCTCCTCCCTGCGTCTTGGGGAGGGGAAAGATGTGTAGAGATGGGCCAGGTAATAGCTTGGATAACAGTAGTTAATAAGACTGTGGGCAAGTCTTTAGTAGTTTGTTGAAGGCAGTTCATGGGCAAAAGGCCCAGTTTCAGTATGAGGTGCTGAGAAATAGCTCTGCTGGCAGCATCCAACTCACCTAGGAGTTATACAGGGCTTCTGCTACCAGAAGAGTGTTTGTCGTACCTTCATTACCAGATATGAGCAACCGTAGCTGATGCAGGATGGTTGTTTTCCCATCTTTAGGATACTTGTTCTTCTACCTGAAAATGGTCTTTATTGTTGTTTCATAGTGTATGGGAACTGCCAAGTCACGGCCTGAACCTCTGATGGATCACCTGAGGCGAGCCATGAGTCAGCCATGGGAGCACAGCTGAAGGCAATTCACCTGTGCTGCAGGAAGGGGTGGAGCCTGGCTGCACCCCTCCTAGACCTATTTAAGAGCTGGCTACCAGTGGGGAAGGATCTCTTCTGGAGATCTGCTCTGCTGGTGTTTTGTGAGTGAGCCCAGGATAGGGGTAAGTTGTCTATTTATTCTCTTTTGTTATCATAGTCTGCTTTGCCTAACTCTCTTGTTTATTTTGTGATTATAACATCCTAATATTCTTTGATTATACACATAGCAAGTGTGGAACTCACACTGGGTACAGCACAAAAAACAAACAAACAAAAAAAAAAACCACACAGGAAAAGAAAGTCTCTTTCTCAGGAGATGTTCAAGACCCTTCTTAACACTTTCCTGTGCAGTGTAGTCTAGGGAACCTGCTTTAGCAGAGAGGTGGACTCAATGATCCCCAGAGACCCTTTCCAATCCCTGCTATTCTTGGATTCTGTGATAACAAAGAATTTCGGGGTAGGACACACTGTCATTGCGATGCTCAAGGAATTGCTCCTTGCACACTTGTAGGTCATGCAGTATTTCTAGTTTAGACCAGTGTAACATGACGGAAAACAAAGCAATGTCAGCAGAGTAGTAAGGTCTTAGGCTGTAGCAAAAGAGGGACCTTATTCTTTCTTGCATGAGCCATGAACACAGAAATAAAGGGGGAGAGAGAGAGGAAGGGGGGAAAAAAACAAACAGACAAAACAAAAACCAACTACCTACCTTAGAAGACCTCAGGTACACAGGAGTCTCCAACAAGAGATACCCTCACCTCTGCTGCCAGCCCTTACGTGAGGTCTGGGAAGGGGTGGATCCTGGCTCCACCCCTTCCAGTCACTCGGGTACATTGCATGTATCTGAGCTCCCCTGGGTTGGTCCTGCCTTCCCCTCAGGTGCTCAATCACTGGTTCAATCTGTGACTTAGCATTTCTGCTACAACTGGAAGAATTCCATAAGGAACAGCAGTACTGTCCATGCTACAACACTGGTCAATGAAAAGAACCAGATCTTGTTATTTCCTTGCTTCAGCTTTAACCTGGTGTATTGGAATGCATACTGATGCTGTACATCCACACACATCTTTTTACAGCCCTAATCCAAGCCAGTGCCCATGTGACAGTCACCCTTTTGTTGCTAGCCAGCAGGAAAGGAAACCAGAGCCTGCAGGTGAGCTCCAGCCTTGTTGGGGTTGTCAATGCCCCCAGTTCCTGCCTTTGTTGAGGGCTTCAGGGGTCCACATGAGAGGAAAAGCGTAGCTTCTTCCTGCCCAGCATCTGAGGCACACACCAAACTGCATCTTGCCACCTCCCTGATGTGAAAGTTCAGCCTGCTCCAGCAGCAGTCAGCAGGGAGCCTGGATAATAGTTGGACACGGCACGTGGCAGCACGGCAGAGGACCTCCAACAGCCCTTCTGATATATTTTCAGAAAGTTTCCCAGTGAAGCAGATACACAGAAACTGATGAAAATTTGATTTCACCTACAGCAGGGGAAAGAGAGGAGGAAGTTGGGTTAAAGTGTGTCTGAGACGGAGAGCCTCCAGGAAGCATTGCCTGTGCCATGTTTACCTTTCACATCTGATGTCGCCTTTTGCTAATTGCCAGGCTGTTCGTTCACATCAGGAGGCGGTTCAAAGTTCAGGAAATCAGCGTGCATTTGGGGGCCGGAATCTGAACCCAGAAGAACACTTCTTGTGTTTTCCTTACCACTGAAAAATGTAAATGTCGTTGGTGCAATGTTCACTCATTATCGCTGAATCAAAGAGCAGTCTCAGCTCCTGCTGGAATCGCATGGAAAAAGATACAGATCTCTCTTCCCATTTCAGACACATCTTGCTGTGTGAATGGGCGATACTTACTGGATACTTAGGTCTCACTTCCACATTGGTGAGCTGCCCTATTTTAGGACTGTTTGTATTAGGCAATAGGCTAGTAGAATCATTAACATGCAAATAGAATTATTTACCTTAAGAATGAAACACATGATTAAAATGGAAATGGCAGAGGTTTATAGAGGGGGTGAAACCACATGACATAGGTGAGACACTGTGGTTTGAGGCAGATGAGCTTCACTAGGGATGAATGACAGGGCTGAAGCGCACATGTAAAAGTAATCAGAACTCCTGTGCGAAGTGACACTGATATATTCTGAATGTCACATTACACTGCATAGTGCTGTGCTCACTCCAGAAATGCTCTTTAATTATAGTTGCTTCAGCCTTACAATCACAAAAGTCAAACAGAGTGGAGGTGGGCACCATTTAGGCAACGTAAATCAAGTTGCTGAAGGTGCTTTGTAAACAGGATCTTCACCTCCCAGATAATTTAGTAAGACTTACCTGTGACTTTTAACTACACATAGGTCTATTTAAGGCTAACAGTTAGCCAAAGCTCAGTTTCTGAATTAAGCGGGACAGTTCCACCCATGGTTGGTCAACTCATGCAGAATGCAACTGTGCCTCTGTTGGCTCTATAAACTGCTGGCCTGGCTGTTTAGGCAAAAAAGTCTTTCCTTGAGCTCTTTCCTCCCAGTTTTCTTCTCAGGAGTTGGCCCAGAATAAAGTACCTTAAAAAAACAAAACAAAACAAAAACACCAAACAGGGCAGAATTTCAAGCAGAGTAACTGAAAAGCTCTCCTGAGCTGCAGCCGCACACTGTCACATACTCGTGACTGTTCTAAGATCCCTCCAATACAAAGTTTGCTGACTTTTTTGTTGTTGGTGTTCTCTTTCTTTTCCATGGCACCCATGACAGATTTATCAGCAGGTCTCTGAAGAACGGTGTTAGATCGGACATCACCTCGGATGCTGGTTTTCTTTCATCCCCACAAGCAGGGGACGTGTTTGTCAAAGGCTTTCTGACTGACATTCTCAGTAACAGCAGGGTGTATGTGCCATAATTTACCATTAATGAACAGGAATGTGGTATTTCAAGCGTGCTATGTTACAGTGAGGTAGGTGTTTTGAAAATTACTTTGTGGCTATTTGAAATTAAACTACTCATCCCTCTGCTGCTGCACAAAAGGCAGGGCTGCTGAAGTGCCTGCTCCTGCATCACCTGCTCCTTACCTCTACAGGTATCACCATTTCTGTTTTTTTAAATGAGGCATTTCTCACATGGAGAGGAAAAAAACAGAACTTTCTGAACATCTGCTTTCATAAAGTGGTTTTTTTGCTTGTGTCATGGTGACAGATGTTAAAAATTTGGGACAACCATGTGTGGGTGAGCAGCACCCTGGGCTGCGCCTCTGTGATCCATGCATGCCATGTGTTCTTCTAATTTGAGGGTTTTTTAGGTGGAAACTATTTCTGCACCCACACTTGGAGTGTTGTGCAAGAGAATAATGGATGTGAAATGGTTTCTCTCCTGGAAGAGCAACAGTTCATTTTAGTTGAGGAACCTGGCGCCATGCGTAAAGGCTCATGATTGTTCCTTCTCCCTTGCTCTCTCCTTTTTTTTTTTTTTTTTTTTCCTTCATTAAATATCTTTTTGCTCTTATAGTGCCAAAGGAAAAATTCAGTTGGAGCTGAGTCTCTGCACAAAATGCAAGAGGTTTGCTGGAGTCCCCTGCTGTGCAGGGAAGAAGCATCAGCTGATTGATCCACCATATCATTTTACTTTCGCCCAAGATTTCACAGCCTTAAATGTCTTTGTCTGTAAAGATCCTAAAGCTGGTGTAAATATGATTGAGGTTTTACACTGGAAAAGAAAATCAAATGTAAGCTTTAAGGGAAAGAGGTGTGTGTGTGGAGGAAGCAGTAGCTAGATTTGTTTCTCAATCCGTGAGTGCGTTTGTATTTTGCTATTTTGGACACCTGCAAGTGAGAGGCTTTGAAGTTGTTCCCTTTTCCTCCTAATGAACCTCAGTTCATCAGGCACAAATCTGTGCCTTGTTTGGGTTGGAAAGTGTTTGGTGCTCTGTACATTGGCCCTGCCATGCTGCATGGCTCCAGCCCTTTGTGCTGCATACTTTCAGATGGATGGCTTTTTCCATCATACATCATGGCTGTGACAGCAGGCTGATGATCTACAACTCTGAGCACTGTAGCTCTGATGATGTGGCTGTGGCTGCAGTAATAATGTGGGCCTATTCCTAGGAGAGCAATGCTGTGCCAGGCTTTTTTTAAAGGTGAAGAGAAAGGCTTAAATCCCCTCCTGTTTGCTATCTGCAACTCTCCCTAAAGCCCCAGATCAGTGGGAAGAAAAAAAAAGAGATTAATCCATCTTCCGTGGAAACATCAGCACTGGTGAATGAGAGAGCTCTGATTTAGATGCTGGGCAGGATATGACAAAAGCCAGCTTTGTAAGTAAAGATTTGGGTGTCTCACCCCAGTGGATGAATATGGCGGGATGGGGGAAGAACGAATGTGTCCTCTGCACTGCTGCAGCCTGATCAGTGCTTGTCCTGGCTCTCTTCTCGTCTTCCTCAAAACTCTGGTCCTGGAGGCGAGGGAGTCTGTTAAATCACATGCTTCTGAAGTAAATGAACGTCTTTCTTCTTCAGGAGATGTAACCTCTCCAAATCATGGCATCGGTTACCCACAGAGCTTCAGAAATAAATAAAAAGGAGGAAAAAAAGTTGAATTTTATCATTATTGTATTTCATGGGTTTAAAACCATTCTGCTGATGTAGGGTTGAGTCCCGATGCTGGATTATGTGAGCTAATAACGGCACTGGATTTAGACCCTTGCCTGGCTGTTGCTGACAGGGCTGAGCTCCTTGCCTCTCACTCCATCTCCCTAGGGCATTGCCAGAAACAGTTTCTAATGGGCTGCATCTACTGCCATAGAACACGTGTGTTTGAGTTAAGGTTAAAGGCTTTTAGCAGGTGAATGTAAAATCAGCCTCTGAATCAGCCTAAAAGCAAAGTCATTCCACCTTTCCTCTGGCAAATGAAACAGAAAATGCACTAGCAGATACATTTGATAGTGTTAATTAAGCTACAGCTGATTGCAGGGACCTTAAGGATCTCTGCTGGCAGAGGTAAGTTTTCAACTAAAATAGACAGGTTTAGATTAGCTGTAAGGAAGAAATTTTTTGCTGTGAGGCCTTGGCACGAGTGCCCAGAGAAGCTGCAGATGACCCATCCCTGAAGGTGTTAAAGGCCAGATTGGATGGGGCCCTGGACAACTGCAATAGGGGATTTGATCTGGATGCTCTTTAAGGTGCCTTCCAGTTCAAGCTGTTCCATGACTCCGTTTCTATGAAGTCAAGGTACCAGCTCTGTAGCAAATGTTCTGCTTTATTTTTTTAGGTGTTCTCACTAAAGTTTTCAGCCCTTCTGTGCAGCCTGCTCTCTCTGTGGCACCTTGTTGTGCTCACAAACATTTTGGCAGAGAGCTGATGCTCAGTGCATTGGCAGTGACCTCCAGCCTGGCTGCTGGTGGGCTGCTCAGGCACCTTCCTCATTGCCTTTGGCTCCGGGTGCTTGGCCTCTCTTGGCATCGCTGAGCCAGTGGCTACTGGCCAAGCTCCTTTGACACTTCCACTCTCCAGGTTTCTTGCTCCATTACACGGTCTACCTTTGAGTTAAGTTTTCCCTCGTATTTAACCTATTTTTTGCCTACCACAGTTAAAGCCATTAGTTCCTGTTCTGTCCTCTCTGACGAATGAGAATTGGTCCCAATCCTCTTTATAATGTCCCCCAACATACTCGTAGACAGTTATGTGTCCCTTCAGCCCTCTCTTCTCCAGACTGAACATGCCCAGCTCTCTTTGTCTTTCCCTCACAGGCCCTGTTTTCCAAACCTTTATCACCTTCATTGCTTTCCCATGAGCTCTTCTTCCCAATTAATCCTTTTAAAAATGTGCTGCCCCATACTGAACACAGTGTACCATTGCCTCTGCTGCTGAAGGAGAGCAGCAGCATTAGCATAATTATCTCGCCTGATTTTCCCACAGCTCTGCTATTAACCATTTTATTTCTGGGACACCTTGCCTGGCTGCTCAAGCAAGGAGGAGAGTACTGCAAGCAGGGAAGAGCTCTAGGGACCCACTGCCCCACAAAAGTGGTTCCAGGAGCAGCTGGTGTACCTGCAGGTGGAACACTGTCCATGCTGGGCACCAGACTGGGCAAAGCAGGTCATTGGTGGGGAAGTCGGCTTTGAATCAGCATCTGCAAGGAGAGTTTGCACGATCCAGAGTCATGGCTGTGGCTCTGTCACCCCGCAGAGCCCATCTCACCCGGCTCACCAGGCTTCTGCTGCTTCGGTGGGTTTCACAGTGACCTCCACGTCGCACAGAGGAACAGCACGACTCCCAGCCTTTTCTGCTGATGTGCAGCAGCAGCACATTTCATTATTCTCCACCCTGCAGAATGCACTGCTTGACTGTGTTGAATCTCACTGCGCTTCTTTAATTTATCTCCCAAACACCACGTTATACTTTAATCCTGTCCTTCTAGATATTTGCATATCCTCCTTGGTTTGAACAGTGCCTAAATGCAGGCTGGCTCTTAAAGGCACAGAGAGATTTGCACGGCTGCCCGTGCCAAGAGCTGCTAATGAAAGCACCAATAAGCATGGGAGTATAAACTCACCACCTGTGGAGTCTTGTTTGGCATCCTCATTCAGCCTAATAAAGAATCATTCATGTTTAATTGCTACATTTGATTGTTTAATTACGGTTATTTTACATGCCATCTTGTTTTGTCTTGGCTTTAGACGCTATCTGCTACCTTACCCTTTCTGAATAGTGAATTATACTACAAGAGAAAATTAGAATTAGAACTAGGCCTTTAAACTGCAATCAGGTTGTTTTTTTTTTCTCTTTTTAAAAAAGCTGTTCATAAAATCCTTTCTGTTTGACATTGCTCTATAGACTCAAATCCAGGGTGGTTTATTTTTTTTCTGTGCAGCAAGAATTATACGAGTAACTTTTTCAAATGCTCTTGCAGGGCTATGATGTGGGTAGCTCCATCTTCTCACTGAGGTTTTATCAATTAAGTTTACTTTGTTTAAATGTCAATTCATCTTAACAACTGCAAGATTGTTTTTTTTGGCAGAGGCTTAACTTGGCATAAAATCAGTTTATTGCAGGTTCACTTAGTTCAGCAATGCTGTAACTTCAAATCAATACAAATCTGTCCTAAAACTTCAGTAAGATGGTCTGCTTGCAAATCTGGCTCCTCTTTAAAGGAACAGCAAGGAAGCCAGGACCTGCCCCATGTTTCTCCAGCTGTGCAGTTTTATTGCCCATCCTGTGCTGGTGCTCTCTTCTGTCTGATGACGGACCTTCCCCGGGCGAACTGCTTCCTCACGCGCTCTCCTCAGTCTGGCAATGAGCTGCCTTTCACTTACAGGGCAAGCTCCCTTTTAATTAACGTGCTTAATGACTCCAGAAACAACAGCACACCTCTGGTTCACTTATGATCCTTTCTTGGATATTGTTGCACGGTGAGCTGTCCCTGGCTCCATTTGGCTTTATGGGCAGCACAAGGCAGCACTCATCTGTTCTGAGCCCTCCTGGTTCTGCTCTTGTCCCTCGATGCATGTAAGCTCTCTGTCCCCAGATTTCTATGCACCAGAGTGTGCTGTGCTCCATCTTGCTGGTATGTGCATGTTTTTCTTTTTTGACCTTCATCCATCAAATTGCCTGACACTGGGTCAGTCACCATTGCTGGGGCACAGGTCTCTGATAGATCTGTGTAGATGCAGCTGAAGAGATGCCCAAGTCTACAGAACCACCTACCCTTTCTGTCCTCTTCTCCTTCAATATTATGACCTTCCCAAGTCTTCTTCCCCGCAGCCAATGGATGTTCTCAGGAACCTCTGAATTAGCTCCTTCCCATGGAGAGTGATGTTCCTGGTGTGACACCATTTTCTCTGGTTTGCTTGTTCCCTTTCTCTATGACCAACATAGACCCAAGAGGAGGAGGAGGGCCTCCCTTTCACTGCTGCCTTCATTCCTGCATCACTAATGTCTAAATCTGTCTCCAAGCAGTTTGCTCTGCCCACCCAGAAGAGAGGTGACCTTTGGATATTGCTCTTTAACCAAGCTGTTTAATTGGAGAAAACTAGCAACTAGTGTCTAGGATTTAGAGAAAAAATATGGAAGAAGCATTTATCAAATAATAAAAAGAGGGACTAAATTCAAGCCATTGTACTCCGCCTGGGTTCTTGCCTTAGAAAGAAAGAAAGAAAGAAAAAAGGTGAGCTGAATTGCTGAAGGACAGCTGAATGCAGTTATTTCCCTGCTTGGAGGCTGTAAGGGATTTCCCTTTGGATAGCTCACAGGCTCCTTCCCAGGAAATTTTCCCCTTGCTTTTACTGCTGTCTTGCCTTTTTCCATCTAGCCTTTTACAGCTAGGAAATGACCTGCCACCCAAGTGCTTTTTTTTAGGGCAATTTCAGCTGCTTCTTGTTCACTTAGAGGTTTGGAAAATATCAGGCTTATGTACTAAAATCAGTTTAAAGCGCTTTGCAAGAATATGGTACAGGAATATGAAATCATTATTCATCATTTGACCAGATATGAAAATAATCCTCACTCATAACTAGCTTCTGAAAATGGCCAGCGTAATTTTTATACGTGCAATAACAAAGTAGGAAGCGACTGCTATTTCTGCAGCAGACAAGGAGCATCTCACTGAGACAAAGCTACAGCAAAGCAGGCAATTTTCAGTTCCTTTTCAGCAAGCTTTCTATATCCTTTCTTGCCTTTGCACTCACAGAAAGCCAATTTTCCGTGTCCCTACTACACACAAAATGGGGCAAGATTTTAAAGATACAGCTCTGCTCTATTTGACTGCAGCAGACTGAAAGAAAAATGAAGTTCAGTACTTAACCGATCCCTTTGCAATATTTCAGGGTAAATTAAAAATCAAAATGTCAAGAGGTTCAATATGTCAGTGGGCTTTTTGACAGGGCGGCTACTTTGAAGCCTAAATGAGAACTGTGCTGCTTTTAAAAACTGGAACCAAATGTGTGCAGCTGCTGCGCCATTTAGAAATTCTGGCCCCTCATCTTTTTTCTTTTTTTCTTACGTAATAAAATTAGTAAAATATTCTGGCTTCTGTTCTACTTGTTTTCAGAGTAGAAAGCCTCCACTTCATAGAGTAGACGGCCATTTACGAAGCTGGCTAGTTTTCATTATCTGCATTAAGGTGAAGCCTGGCAGCATTACCCTCTTGCCTTTTGTACCATTGAGCAAACCCATCTTTGCTGCCCCCAATGCATTTATCTCTCGTGGCCCTCGACAAACCATTTTTTTGTTTTGCCATCTCAGTTCGTCTTTGTAAAACAGGGAAGATAATAAATGATACCGCTTACCTTCTTCAGAGAGATGTGGTGAAGATTAATTAGTCCTTGTTTATACAAAGATTGGCAATAGTGATCTGCAGGTTTGCTAAGCACTGGGATGATTGCTATCGCTGCCTCTCCTGACAAAGAAGCACAGCCAAGGACAGGAGCTGGTGCCACTGCAATCATTTACAGGTCCAACGATAGCTGTGGCCTTGAAGAAAACTCTACCAAATATTCTGCATCTGAGAAGAGGAGGAAATGCATACTGGCAGGGCCATGGCATCTCTGGAGTCTCCTCCAGTGGGCACCTCCAGTCCCTGTTGCAAACCCTTCCGTGTGTGGGAAAGGTATGCACATAGGCAATCTGAACTGCTTATTCAGAGCCAAACTATTTCTTTCTGAACTTCGCTTTGGATGCAAAGATGGACTTAGCCTCTCACATACGTCTTTGCCAGAAGTTGCTGCACACATGCATCGTGCCACAGCAAATTGGCACCTTTCGCTTCAGCCTGCTGTGTTAGATAGACACTTGCAGGCAGTCCTGTCGGCAGGTTAGACTATTTCCATAGTGATGCAGCCAGAGTGAAATGTATTTTTCCCCACAGCTGTCCAATTTGCTCTTGCTGGTGCTCTGAGCATTGCTGGTTTGCCTGGTGCGTTTGCTGCAGGCAGGGCTGTCTGTGCATGAAATGACGGCAGGCTGTGCTGGCCTCAACTTGTCGTGTTCCCCCACTTGGCAACAACTTTCTGTAGTCTGTGGCTATCACTTTTCACTTCACTCAGTAATTTCTCAGGCTTTGACAGCTGCCCCAGCCCTCCCTTGCTGCTGGACTGCCCATGGCGAGGAAGAGAGGATGCATCCACTGGCGATGAGGCAGCGGGTCCCCAGAAAAGCCCATCCTTCGATGACTGAGAATTATAAGATCCCCCTCTTGCTATTGTTCAGACAAGCCCCAGGATCTAATATCACCCTTCTCTCCTGACTACACAGCTACATACTGGTGTGCTGGCCCTCTCCAGACCGCGACCTGCTCACCTTGGTCCTGAAGCACACATCCATAGGTACAGATGGCATCAATCAGAGGAGAACACCCAGCCAACACCGACCGCTCAGCAACTCCATGCACACTGTAACAAAAGCATTGGCTGATTAAAATTCCTCATTTTGTTGTGATTCGCTTTCTCAGCAAGTCAGGTTCAGTTACTGTGGTGGACAGTTCTGCTGGTAAGAGGTCAAAGTCAACAGTACACAAATCTGTGCTAGGCTACTGGCAACCCTCTAGAGTTGTGTAAATTGAAGGGAGGCTGTATGTGGAGCAATTTGCATTGCAGTGCATGTGCAGGTGAGAGTGCAATATGACAGGAGATGTCATTACTGAGATTAGAATTTACACTTACAGCCTTAGTCAGATTTGTGTTTGAGAAACTACAGTGCCCTGGAAAAAGATTACTAATCATCTGATAATTTCCTATTGTTTGTATCCAGTAAATATCCCTTTAGTTTCCTATTTCCAGTTAAGATTAATTTTCTGATCAAAGAAAGTTTGATCAGAAGTGCACAGACAGCACAAGAGCAGCAATATTACATGGCTGGAGGATATGTGTTGTGTCTTTGACTCTGCAGGAAAGCCAACCAGGAGGGGAAGATGATGGCTCCTGGTAGAAGCTCTGCAATAAATAATAACTCTCTGGGTTTGGAAAAGAGCTATTTTTATATATTTCCTTCCTGCTGTCAATCAGAGGAGTCCTTTCTTCATTTTCGAAGTAGAGTCAGTCTTTGTTTTACCGTTGGGATGCTTTGGTTGAAATCCTGTGCTAATTTCCATTGTTTCTATTTTGATTTCTTAGAGCAGTCCAACAGAGATGAGTGGTACTGCGCCCTTTGTCCTGCTGCTCTCGGCCATGGTAACAAGACCTGTCTCCACCCTCCCAGGCTCTGCCTCAACCCATGCAGCTGACAAGTCCCTTTTCCTCTCCATCCCACTCAGTCCTGCTAGATCAGCTTTCCCCTTTGCACGTGGAGCCTCTCACCATGCACACTCTCAGTGGTTCCCACTGAGCCCACCACCAGCAATATCACTTTCCTCACTCCTTCCCTGCAACCCTGGTAAATATCTAAAAATGGGTAAATATCCCAGAAAATGTTTGTCTGTTTGCCTTACACGCTAATTAGTGCCGACGTGGTCAAAAGTGCTCTGAACTTTTATTTATTTATTTTTCTCCTTTCTCGAGCATCTATCACCATGACAGCAACGCGCTCCAACCGCAGGAAATTAAAACACCCGACACAAGCAGCTAATCAAATGCAGAAGCAAACAGAAGAATTTTGCACAGAGCTCTCAGTGTCATTCCGATCCCGCTTTGACGGGCAGCAGAGTTTCTGCGGGGAAAAAGAAATGTTTTGTTTGCTTCAAATTCCCTTTTCCCTTGGAAGCGTAAACGTGAAATTACTCTCTCCTCCTCCATTGGGATGTCTTATTTATTTTCCTGCTGGTGGCTGTTAAAGGAGACGCGGTTCAATTATGCCCTGGGTTGAATTAATGGCTCGCACAGCTCAGTGAGTGTGTTCTGGTGTGAACTTACCCACGTGAAGGGGATGGTGGGGCTTTCGTGGGGCCTGGGAAAGCCCTGCAGGAGGAGAGCTCCCTGTGGCCCTCTTGAATCTGTGACATATGTTTGGTTGTAGGATCCAGAGTAGACTTCACATCTGAGCTGAGTGAAGCTTTTTATTTTCTGACATGCTGAGTATGTCCATCTCAGTCTGGACCCTATTAGAAACTTCAGTCAGAAGTCTGCTAACTTCTCTTGAATGCCGTCACTCAATCACCATCTTATACTGGAGTCTTCAGATGCCTTATTTAGAGGAGCAATGGAGTTTTACCACAAATAACTTTTGGTTGATTCCCCTTGCACCTACATTTGTTTTTGTTTGTGTTCTTCTTTGTTGACAGTTCAAGCACATAAGTACCCCCCCAAGGAGCATCCTGAAGGACTTGTTTCCTCTTTGTCTTTCCTTAGCATTGAAAACTGGACTACATTATTTTTTACAAGCACTGATAAAATATTAGCCATGTGAGTAATGGATCACGCACAACTTGAGGTCTTCCCTGCGCCCAGAGAATCTCTGCGGGTGGGTGGACTTTCTCTGCTTTGCTCCTGCAGGCTAGGTCTGGCTTCCATACAGCCCCATCTCATACAGCTCATCTCACAAATCCATGTAGCACCATGAGTACCCTTAACACTTCTCGGAATGATGACATTGCTTCTACTTCAGGTTGAAAACTTTGGTGTGCTCTTGAGCAGCGGCTGTGTGCTGCTTTCCCAAGGACTAGAACAAGCCAAGGTGCAAAGCGGTGCTGTACTCAGTGTCTGCCCTTCCGCTCAGATACAGGAGAAAGCAATCCAGCAGTGGTCATTTTTCATCAGTAATGAATGAATTTGTCTCTTTTTTAGTTCTCCCTCCAGCTTTTTGAGTTATGTAGCTGATACTACCAAAAAGCACTCGCTTTACTGTGGGGCCCTTGTAAACAAGCAATGTATTTCTTGCCATAAGGGCACAGCAAGGTTAAATACTGAATACCACTAGATGAGATTTTGCAGACATTTTGGGTATGCAGAGCCATGAAAGCGCCTGAGGCTGTCATCAGATCCACCTGGAATCCATAATCAGGATAAGTGAGATGATTGTCTTTGCTTTTCATAATTTGAGGAGTGACTCCCAACTATTTCCCATAATGTCCTGGTGAAACTTCCGTTTTGTGGCTGCAGCTAGGCAGCCTCTGCTTGCTTTGATTTTATTTCATGGCATTTTTCTCTTGTCTTTGCTTTATGTTTATAGTTGCCAGCATAGTGGCTGCTATTTTTAAGGATTTTTTTTCCTTTGCGTGCTTGCTTTAAAATGATTTGTTAGTATAGAGTATGATGTATTTTAAATGGCTAAAGAGCACACCAGGTGTAGATTCAATATAAATTCATTTGAGACTGCAGCAACCACAGTACCTTCATCTACTCAAACCAGAAGAGGTCATAGTTTCTAAAGTAGTGAGTGTGAGCACCTGAGAAATACTCACTATTGGTCAAGTTTAGACGACAGCCTGTAGAAGTTATTCTCTGGCCTGTAGCTATTTACAGTTTTCTGCACTTGGAAATAAATCCCACTCAATTGAGGAGAATAACTTTGTGAACCCTGGAGAGGATGTTGCATTGGGAACCTGTGTAAGCATAATCATACAGCACTTGTTAAAACAGGAGAACCCCTAAAAGGCTTCAGCTGCACAAGGGGTGGGAGGAGCTCACAAGTGCTGCTAAGGGCAATGGGCTCTAAATTTCAGCTCTGTTCTCCAGTCCACAGGGGCAATTCTTCTTAACCCGATCCCAAAGTCTACTGCAAACTGTTGTATTTCAGAGCCCTTGGGAGAGTGTTTCACAAGATGGAGATTAGAAAGCAAGAACAGCAAACTGGAAAGTGCTTTGTGGTGTCTCTTTAACAGCTTAGGATTGATTCATTTTAGTATTTGTGTCTGGGTCTTATTCACTGCTGCCTCATAGATCAATGGCATGACGGAGTCCCAGCTCGTGTTGATGCAGCATATGGGAATGGGATCCATTATCTTTAGTTCCCAGGACTATAAAATGTCCAATAAACTCAGCAGCAAGAACGCCGGATTTGTGCACCTCCACCAGCTGCTGTAGCTTTGCTGCCTATTAAGCTGCGTTTTTAGTTTCATTATTGATGGGGAATGCTGATAGCTGAGCAAATGATGTTGCTTGCAGATTTGAGGCACTTTCCCTGCTTATAAAGGTAACTCCTGCTACGGTGCCTCCTCTTGCCGGGGGAGGAGGGCTGCATGCTGCAGTGAGAAATCAATTTAAATTAGCATGGGCACAGCCAATCCGTAGTGATGTCAGCAGCTCAAGCTGGTTGCAGGAATCTGAGCAGCAAGGCTAAGCGCCTCAGTCTCCAATGCTCATCCTTGCCACAGACCCCAGGCAGGGCATCTCTGTGCACATTTGCTGCTCCAGCATCACTCTCAGTCTCTTCCCTGGCTGTTTATGTTGCAGTTTGACTTTCCCTTGTTTTTCCCGCTCCTGCTGAACCTTTGGAATAAATTCCATAATCGCTCTGAAAATGGTGCAAAACCTGAGCTTGCCTACAGAAGTTGCTGTGGTGGAGTCGTGAGCAGCTCTCAATTCCATTTCACTTGTTTCCTGCGCATTGCCACCACAGGCACACTGCAGTTCCACTCCAGAATCAGCTTTTATTGCTTTCTCTACTCCTCTGGGAAACAGAGATCAAGAACAGCTATGGCAAGTTAGGCAATATCTTCAGCCTCTAGCATCATTAGTGTAGGTAAGCATTGTAATGGAAGTCAGTGTAAGCCAGCTCTTATTAATCCACTGAATGTTGATTCCTACAAACAATCTCCAGGTACTGTTTCAGTGCTTACGCAGTTGACTTCCTACTGAACCATCAGCATCCACTGTTGAGAAGAGAAACCCATATTCCACAGGCAGGATCATTTTCTGTTCCTGGACATCGTGGAACTGAACACGGACGCCCAGCTTCTAGTATCAATGTTGGTATGAATACAAAAGAAAACTTTCCCTCTCCCGTGCTAAGGTCTGTGCAGGTGGTGATTAAAGTAGCTGTCACCGTGCTTGTAGCTCAGCTGCTCTTGGCTGGATGCCTGCTGTTACTGCCTGCTGCCCGTGAGTGCCTTCCTTGGGCATCTGCACCTCTCGGTGCTTGCCATCAACAGCTGCAGCTCTGGCAAAGTCTGATAAACACCAGTGCGTTTCTGCCAACTTTTCTCCAAGGAACAGAAAGGAAGACTAGTAGAAGTAGAAAGGAATGTCTAGTAGAAGTTTACTTTCAAGAGTATGGATCAGAGATTTTGTACAAACTACTCTCTTAAATTATTGAAAATCTGCTGTAATTACTGAGTATTTCAAAATATTCTGGGGAAGAACTTCTGGGCCCATCTGTTTTTCCCTTCCCTTCACTGCCACATGTCCGCTCAGCTATTAGGAATGCTGAAGGATGGCTTTCATGAAAACGAGGGCAGTGACGTGTTTGACAAAATGTGACTTCTATGGTCCAGAAGCAGAGGATTCATTACTTCCATCTATAGTTTTTTTGCAGCTTTTCCCCCATCTTCTTAAAAATGTATTCCTAC